AAAATGTACAGTCGTAATGTTACAGACTCCACACCTCTGTCATAATGCCTTTAAAGCCATATTCCACTTTGCATGACTTTTGTAAGAGCAAATATATTGAAAGAACAGAAATAATTATAACAACAATTTGCTTTATTCCGAAACAGAACATGTGATACAGAGTGGAATTCTCAGCATTTTTACTACAGTATTGCATCCACTTAGTACATTATCAATAAATAGAATTCCACATAGATTAAGGAAATCACAGTTCATTATTACAACAACACATTGGCATGTCGGTAGCAAAGGAAAAGCTAAAACAGTGTTTGAAGGTGTTAGAAAAGTGGGAGCTGTCATATTTACTGGCGTAAGCGAGAGAAAGAAACAAAGTAGCACATAACGGAAAAAAGAGGGGAAGAGAAGAGGAAAACAAAGAAAGAAAATGTTGTACCTATAAACGATGTGAGTTGAAAAGAAGAGGTCCAGTTGTACTACTGACTATTTAATGAATTATATGTGTCACGCCTAATGCTTTCCTTATCACACAGAACACGAGCTAAGTAGGGTATGGTTGAGTTTTTGTACTTGCTGATGCGAGCATATAGTTTTCTATGTAGGCTTCTGGTTTTACCTGATGAGATGCAAGAGGAGAGTTGTGGGTGAAGAGGGTGGTGTGAGTTAGGTAAAATGGATTTGGCCCATTTTTCACATGAGTCCATGTGCCTGTCGACCAGAATATTAACAAGCTGGCTAAGTGGCACGTTGCTTATCCTGCTGACAACCTTTAACATCCTGCGTAATAAGGTATAGTCTTTCTTCAGTAGCCCTGGAAAAACTAAGAGGGAAAACAAGAGAATAATAGGCAGGATGCAAGAGTTAACGAATCGTAGGAGTAAGGGTTGAGTTATACCAGAATGTTTTAACTTCTTGATGTAGAAGGTTAGACGGAATATTTTCTTAGAAATCGTCAAGATATGAGACGACCAGGAGAGATCAGTAGATAGAATGACGCCTAGGTATTTAAATTCCGATTTGGTTTCTATTTCAGTACCATCTATGTTGCATACCTCGTGAGAGCCAACCAGTTTGTTTAGGTCGGATTTATGCCTCAAGGTGAAATTGACTGTTTGGCATTTGGAGGGGTTTAAGGTAAGACCGTTTTCCTTGGACCACCGGCTGATTTCTGACAGAAAGCCATTAAGTTTAGAGCAGTCGCTTTGACATTTGACAGGCAAAGATACTGTCAGATCGTCAGCATATTTGACAAAATTAATGTCATTTGAAGATGGTAAGTCGTGTAGAAAGAGAGAAAGAGAAGTGGGGAGAGTACAGCACCTTGGGGGACACTAGCTTCAGTGAGCACAGCAGAAGAGGATTTACCATTCTATACGATGTACTGCATTCTGTTAGAGAAGTAGGAGTGCAGCCAGTTAGTGACCCAGGACTCGGTGTCCGTCAAAGAGAGCTTATTTAGCAGGAGACATCTAGGTACGGAGCCGAAAGCAGAAGTGAAGTCAAGAAACGTGTAGCGGACGTATTTGGCACGTTTATCTAATGATGAGACGATACTGTTGTGTAAGGCGGCTGCAGAGTCTAAAAAGCTCCAACCTGTCTATAGGCGAATTGTTTGTGGTCTTCGAAGATTTTAAGGGAGGGTTCAAGTTTAAGAAGTACTAGTTTTTCCATGAGCTTTAGAAACGGGGGGGTGATGGCAATGGATCTGAACTTTACGTTATTGCTGTTTCCAGGTTTAGGGACAGGGACTATTTTAATGTCTTTCCATGCGTCAGGTACGATATTTTTAGAGAAAGAAGCATTTAGGATGTTGGTTATTTGAGAACACAACGCATCTGCACATTGTTTTAGAACATATGCAGGTATACCATCAGGCCCAAGGCTACGTGAGGGCTTGAGCGTTTTAAGACATTTAAGAACATCGAGAGTATTAAAGTCATGAAAGTTTTCAGCTACATGGTAGGTAACATTGGAAGTAGTTATAGTAGAAGGACAGCGTATAAAAGACTGATACAGATTTGTTAGCGTATTAGGATTCCTTTGTGACTGAAAATAGTGCTAAATTGCATTCTCTCAATACATGGTAGTTAGTAACAATGGATATGCTGCTCTTAAATCATTTAGAATTATTCACATACATATAAATCCTACTTGATCGGTAACTACTGGACGTTGAAACTTGAGCTCTTGCATTCCGAAAGTGGCTGTTGTTACTCCTCCTCTACCATTTTCTATGTGGCAATCAATCTAATCTTTAGATTTTCGTTTCATTTGACACTCTTAATGTATACCTCTCTATATTACTTCTAACTCATGCTCCTGTCCTTAATATTTGACTTCTACTCACACTATTTTGATCGTACGGCCGCACATCAACTTCAACAAATTTGTCAACTTTAGGGTATTTAAGAATTTTTTATAATTATACCAATAAGGCTACTAACACTTGTAATTTTATATATATTCTACTCTTAATGTACTAGATTTGAATGATATTTGGTTGTGTTTTCAAGTGAAATAGTCAAAGAATTTGATCCTTTTTAATAGTGATATTGGAATTGTTCTGATACTGTTGTGGTTAACAGAGTTAAAGTGGAAGTACGTAAAATACTAGAGAACAATTTTCATGGTGGCAATGAAATCATGCGAAATCTCCTCTTCCTATAATGGTCGACTAGCCTACAGATTTTATTCGTCAGACAGGCTCCAACCAAACGAATTGGAGTGGCACTTGCCAAAAATATTGACTTCACGATGCAGTGCTTTAAATGTATTAGTCAATTAATTTGTGACTTAATTTCGTTGGGGAATGAACGTGTTGAATGCTAGAGATATTCGCGTTTGAATCGTGTAATTCTTTCACATTCTATGTACCATGTTTACTATTCAGTGTTTGAATTTGATAGGTAGAAACATATCTTCAGGAAAACTGTTACAGGCTTTCCCATTAGCTCATACACTGAGCAATTGTAATGGGATGATTAGTGTTGCATTCACCTTCAAGCTTAAGTCTTCATGGACGAAACATTTGATATCCACTTCAAAATACTCTTCGGTTGAAGTATACACAAAAGTTGTGTGAGGCGTTTATGAGACATATGAAGCTCTTCCATAGTAGTAAACTGGAGAAATTAAACAGAATGGTTTCAAAACTATGTTTCTACAAGTCCTAGTCTCACCTGGAATGGACAAATAGACTTCTAAATAAATGTAGTCATAAGAATGAGTGCGGGGTTAGTTGACACAGAAGAAGATTTTCATAACGAAGGTGGTTTCATAGGAGATTTAGAAGTTCAGTGTATCAGAATGTAATGCATTACTGATTAATTGAACAAATTCAAATCTTTTTGGGTCGACACACTTCGATGAAGTACTGATTGAATGATTAGAAGAAGATAATAGGACTACATCTGAGCTATTGTGGGGGATTTTGAGGCATGTTACTGGAAGTCACAAAGACTGATTCTTAACATTCTAACACGTATAACTATCCAACGTGCACATCAAGTAATAACAAATATTGATTTTTAGATCGGTTCGTTTTTCCTTCTGAATAACGTTAACTCCTTTCAAACCTAATCTTGTTTCACTTAAAATCACTGGCTGAAAAAGGTAATGACTTTATGTGTGGAATATGTCTTCACTCGATACTGTGTAAATCAAAAGGTGACAGTACTAGATGGTCAAACAAACTTCAACTGTAAAATAGATTGCATGAACTAAATAGGCCAGAGAGGCCATCCTACTCATCTTCACATACATGAAAACAAGCTAGTAATCCGAAGATGTGACAAACGCTCGTTCAAATCAAAACACTCAGACGAATACCGACACAAAATCGACTGGGGTGATGCAAATATATTAGAGAAAGGAAACATTAAGTATTCCAGAGAATCCCTGGGGTTCCTATAGACAAATCAGTTTCCAGTTAGTCGACATGTTGATATGGATGCAATCTACCAAGCAATGAATAATAAATAGGTGACAGGAGAGAAGGGTCAAAAATAGGGATGACAAGAAGACCAGTTTCCATGCAGGCGAGTACAATCATAGGGAAATCTACGACAGCAGCCAGTTGCAGTAGTCACCAGGAGAGACAAATACTTCTTCATTCATGAGGAATTTCATAAACTCACTTCACTTGGACTTAACTCTGTAGATATTGTCTGAAAGGGTAATGAATGTTTCGCAGTTAAACCATCAAACCTAGATACCTTCCAATTTGATAGGGTAACCAATCATTCTAGAACTATGGGATAAGTGATTCATGAGAATGGTTTTAACAGATTTGTAGTGGATATCATTTTCAAGTCCAGAAACAACTGACGCTAAATTTATTAGTTATCATGCACTGGTTCTAAACAAGTGAGTTCCGCAGTTAATTTTTACCATTCTAGATTGATTTGTGCACAGATCAATGATGAAGCCACCTTAATGTTCAGTGAAATTTATTTAGGCATAGTCACTCTAATCTTACATATGCAATTTCCAACCCGGAACTACATTCACGATATTTCTGCAGTTACTAAAAGGACTTGAAGGAACATGATTCGTACAAATATGCGTTGAAAAACAATTCGTTATCACACTAAATCTTCTTTGGTTAGCTTTGTTTTCAAACCATAGCAGGTGTGCTATTACCTCTGTTATTTGGTTTAGTGATCTTCATTCTTATTTTGACCTTGAATATGTCTTTTTAACTTGACGTCACCTATTAATTCTTTATTAATTTGATATATATTCCTATGACACGTCTGTGTGTGCTGAATCAGATTGTTCAAAATGTTTTGCGCAAATACATTTCATAAGTCAGATAAATTACGTCTTGTTATTGTTTTGTCTTTATTTATGATCAGTTATTAACTGGTTTCATTATAGTGAGATTCAGCCATCGTTAACATCAGCTAACCAAATCGTCTTCTCACCAAAATTAAATACAGTGTAGAACTTCCTCATAAATACATCACCAAGAAGCCAAACTCCAGGGGGAACTAGATCGTTACTAGCGAATGGTGATGTACACTTTGTATTCAACCAGTTGACTTCCTGAAAACGAAAATGAAACGAATTTTATAAATCTCATTGATTCACAATCTCGAAAATGAAAATTAGAACAACCATGGGAAATGAGTAAATTCACCAACTTTCCGGCTAAATTTGTCTGATAGGAAGCTGAAACCAATATTTTGCATAGAATTGATGATTATTTCTGTGTAGAATGAATGATAATCGTGGAGCTGGATGACACTTGCCGATGTAAGAGAGGAAGAAATGAAACTAAGGAACAGTATTCCGCAAAACTGAAGAAGAGACAGGGAGATAAATTCAGTGAAATTCTCTGAAGTCTTCTGTTGACAGCATTTCGAGAACTTTCTTTGCCATTTATTTCACCTCACCTGCACTTGCTCACCAAATTGGCAAAGACAATTTGTGGGCTTTGGTGACTTCAGTGTCAATTCACCAGCTTCATGTCTCCTATGGAGTCAACTACGTGGACTGTACTAACAGGACATTGTGTAAGTAGGCCGATGAACACTTGCCAGCATGGTAGTCTGAGGAATAAGGTAGTACAGAACAGACAACGACTCAATTCTGGAGCACGATGTTATTTCTTGGCACGTTGCATCAGAACAGAGTTACTTCAAAGTCATATGTGAAATAGGACCAGGCAGTTCGACTGGATTTCGCCTACATTTCATGTAAACAAGGCTTCTGGAATCCACTAGGAAAAACCGGGACTTTGTATTCAAACACATTTTTATCCAGCCTCCTTTACTAAATTGTCTTTAGTGATAATTTTGTTGTGTAAAGAACTTTATGCAGTATTTGCACATCTTTTAATATTTTTTGTAACTCACTTGCAATGCACCGATCTCTGGCTCTTATATGTCATTTCCAAGTAACTACTAATCATTACATAAGTAATTGGCAATCAACCCTCTCGATTACTCATAATTTTTCGCACATTGTCGTGTCGATGGATCTCACCTTTGTTGTCAGATAGCACTGTATATATAAACCCTAAATAACTGTTCAGACTCGAAGTGAGGTTACGAAAAGAGATCTCTTTCCTTAATAAGGCCATTTCAAAAACGATGAAATTCACCTGTATTTTAAAATGTGTTGCCATTTCTTAAATGCAAATCATTGGCATTGATGAGGAAATTCCCATCGAGGTGCCGATCACAAGAAAATCACAATGTTCAACCGAATTCTCATACTTACCTTAAGCACATAGTTCTTCGCCTCAAGTACATAGCTCCTCTTCTTGAAGACAAACTCAATAGGAGGGAGCAGGTTAATATCATTACAGTTTAATCCATACTCATCATCCCCAACCGGCTTGGCCCCAAGTCTAGAATTAATCGTTTTCACCGTTTCATTCGATCCCAGTATCAAAGATATCCCAGTGTATATATAAGCAACGCACGTTTCTTTGCAATATTCTACTCCATTTATCTTCATGCTGAACATGGTAAAACAAACACAACTGAAACATTAACCAACCTATGCAGTGAAGAGTGTATTGATATAAATTAATCCAATCACAAAACCACTCATCCTAATAATCAGACGCAATGGGCATACTTAGTTCTCCTCAGTCATCTCCACACAAATACACAAATCCCTGTCTGTTGATTAACTTTCAGCTCTCATCAGAATTTCTTGCACCTTCACCCAATAACAGCCTTCACTAAATCATTCTAATGACTTTCTTCACTGGAATACTCGTGAACACATACAAAACATGCTGAAATTACGCACACCATGAAAGTTTCCACTTGAGATTGCTCAAGGCAATTTGACTACACACTATCAGCATTTCAAATGGCATTCGTTTCCAGATAAGCCACTCAGGTTGTCAACACATTAAACTCAAATAGATGACACTTTCTTCGATAACTCAGTGAAAGTTGGCCAGTAAGTAGTCACGCCAGCATCTGTGTGTTTATCGCACGTAAAAATGGATAGTCAGCATATATGATGTTGTTTGGTAGAATGGGAATCGGTTTTCATGTGTTGAGGTGATGGTGGTCAAATGACTGCTTTATTTCTACTAGAAGAGAATATTTTAGGTTCAAACCAACTATAATAAATTAAGGATGCAGAATAACTGTCCACTAATTTGTCATCTGGAATTATCAAGGCATATCTCATCAAAAAGACTTTTACGTGAGTGTATGACTTTCATTACTGGTAAAAGTGGGAATTGTTGCGTGTATTACATATGCTTTGAGTAGAAGATATAACTGTGACAACCACTCCACATTTTCTGTGACCTTAGTGTTCACGTGAAAAATTGATATCCTTTCGACAACACAATAAGAAGACGTAGTTTATCTGAAACGTGTAATGTATTGGCGCAACACATTTCCGACATTCTGATCACACACGTACTTGTCATACACAGTGTTTATAGAAGGCAAGAAGGCACGAATAATTACAATACAGGTCAGATTGTGTACAGGTCAAGGTCACAAACAGTGGGTAGGGAGACGCAAAGATGTGGGTAAGAAAGAGAAAAAGAGAAAAACAAAGCAAAGAAGGGATTGAAAATATTATGAAGTAAATTGGTCCTTGGTTCTTTTTATGGCTGGTTGGGCCACGTACTTAAATTCGTTGAAGCCTTAGCCATAAGAAGATTTAAATCTGTGTTATGTGTCCAAAAGTTATTTGTTATTACCTTAAACCTGCTTTGGTAATCCAATTTAGAACCAAACTTTTTTTCCTTCACGTTCCCCAGTGGAACATAGGGATTCAAGCTAGTGACTTGAAGATTCTGTAGCAGTGTTCATTTTACAGGATGGGGTTGCTATTCTCATGCCCAACCTTTCCTCTTTACCAGCATTATTTCTGGCTTAGCGAGGTAAAGGAGTGCGTTGGCTTGGGATCGCACACCGGACCATGTGCATGGTTGGCGAGCATCCTAACCGCTATGCCACCGACGCACATTTAGAACCAAGGATCAATTTACTTCATAATATTTTCAATCCCTTCTTTGCTTTGTTTTTCTCTTTTTCTCTTTCTTACCCACATCTTTGCGTCTCCCTACCCACTATTTGTGACATTGACCTGTACACAATCTGACCTGTATTGTAATTATTCGTGCCTTCTTGCCTTCTATAAACACTGTGTATGACAAGTACGTGTGTGATCAGAATGTCGGAAATGTGTTGCGCCAATACATTACACGTTTCAGATAAACTACGTCTTCTTATTGTGTTGTCGAAATTCATAAAAGGAAATAATTAATTTGAATAATATCTTTGCCCATGAAATCATGCAAGCATCAATTGACTACCTTTTGAGTGTAACAGTCCAACTGTCTTTATAAATGACAGGCAAGTTTTCGAAATCTCCAATAAAATATTCAGGATTGACACCACCAATCACCATCTCTCCACCAGCAAGACCGTTTTTCCTACAAAATATCAGACACGAATTTGAGGAATTACTAAAACGGCTAGCAACGTGTTCAACTTCATGTTTCCGCAAATAGGTGAATAGCAATCAGAATAAACGTTATTTATGAATTTGAATGAAATCACAGAATTTAATGATTGTCTCCAACACTTCATATTCCAAGGGTACTGAAGCTGTAAATGAAAGTTCAGCTGAAGACTCTTTCTGTCATAACAATCTAAAGGACAATGTAAGTGAATTACTGGCCAAGTACTTTAGTTGATGTGTACCTTCGGTCACACATTTCATTTCTTTAAATTCAGTCCAAAATTTGTAGGCAGAAAGTGTTTTTTTAATAATGAAATCTTATGATTGTCTCAAACCATTTCCTTTCTCATGTATTCCACTTAAATATTATGGGGGAGATTTATGTTAAGCATATATTTAAAGCCACTTAAACTTAATTAAGTAGTTTCAGTGAATCTGTATGCCAAATAAGTAAATATTGAGTCAGAAATCATTGGAAAACGTAATAGTAAACCACTGGAATATCAGCCATATACAGCAATAGTATTATTGTTGCATCATAAACAAGAACCCACCGGCTCAGATAGAAAGAAATTACTGGATCTATATCCTTGTATTGAGAAAGTAGATTCGGGAAGAATGGAGTGTTCCCATATCTCGACACATTTCTCATTTGCATTCCAATGATTCCATCATACTTGTTATCAAAGTAGACTAAGGAAAACACATTTGTTACTTCAGCAAACGCCTGATTACGAATAACTAAGGAGTTTAGCTAAAACCGTTGTCGCTTCAAGTTATAAAAGCACAATACCTGCATTGTATCCATACTCCAAAATCCAGAGTAACTGCCAATCAGGTAATAAATATGAAATTCAGTACCGTTTGGCTTGTAGGTAGATGATTTCGAACTGTCGTAAAATCGAATGAACCAACACGAAATGTCAAGAAACCAACATTTTCTTGAGGGAAACCAGCTGTCGGTTGATCCTGTGTCGAAGATTACACGAAGCGTTTGTGGTGGCGTTCCCACTTGTATTTCTCCATAGTAATCAATCTTAAAAAGGTGTAATAAACATAAGATTCTGAAAACATATACATATATCAATAACTAATTCTGATCTAAAACACTTCTTCCCATGCCTCACCTCAGCGTTCACATGGAATACGTTAAGAATAATAAATTTTTTTGTATTTACTTATTTTTAGTAATCACACAGATCTTCACTGTTTACTTATTCTTTGACCCGGGAGATGGAAGGACAACCACTTCTTACAAAATATTACACACACATTCATTAACTTTCAACAACTTAAGTAGAACTCTGATTCTCACAAATAATGTCTCTATGAGATAATGTGCGGAATGTAATGTACTAGAAGAACATCACTGTGTATAGGACGAAAGATAACATCTGCTTAAATCAATGCACAATATGGTATGTTTATTTGAATTAATCAAAAAACATGACTAATTATCACATAATCTGTCTCACTAACATTTTCATAGTTGTACAGGAGTTCTGGCGTTGGTGTTTCTCCTCCACTCCATAATTTCATCCAACTTCGTTGTAATCCTCTCAATAACTTCCAATACGGATTTAGAATTGACTTAA